CCTCCACCTCCATTACTTGAAGAAGATAAAAATGTTTCTCTTCCTGTTCCCTGACATTTTCCATCAAGAAGTAGAGAACCTGCAAAGGAAAAAAGGGCCTGGTTTATTGAATTCCACATGGATAATTGATCTTTATATAGTTCATTGAAGGATCAAGAATCAAGACGATTAGTTCATGCTAGAGTCTTCCTCCTGTTTATTAAAACAAGTAAAAACTAAGGAGTTTTCAGGTTGATACATAATAAAGTTATCTTGATGTATATGTGTTATAACCAGAGAAACAGATGTATAAATCAGTGACAGAAGTTTGGATTTGAATATAAAACCATTATGGATCATAAATCTTATTAGGAAATATTTATTGAACATATTGAAGTTCAGCTTCGTGAGTTCTTGAGTCAAGAGGTTTGTGCATGCCTCACATATGCCTTAGTTTTATATTTTGGTTGATATTTTTGCAGCATAACAATTAACATAATTTGAAGTTGAGAAGGGTTAACTGCAATCAAACTGGTGAGTTGGCATCAAAAGGTTATGAACTTAGGCTGTTGATATAGCTGGCGTATGATTGAAATCCTTCCAACTTCCTGCTATTGAATATTTGATCCATGAAAATAAAATTTGCAAGCTATCACTCCTCCATAAGTTTTTTCCCCCGAGTAGACAACCAAAAGAACCAATGTTTTCTAAAACCTTTTCTTTATTACTTTCGTTAAAAATCTACATCATCCATAGGCCATCTCTCATCTTCTTCTTATCGCCAAATCCACATCTTTTCGAATAAAGAAAGCATTATATCAAAATGATGGGGTTTGACTCTGAAAAAGAACGATATATTTTTCCACTGACCAATATTCACTCAGCCCTTCATTACTTGCACCTCAACTTGGTTAGCTTACAAGCCTGAAGGAATGGTTTTAAACATATAATATAAATTACACAGAGATTGCTCCTACTGAGGATAAAAAGAGAGAACCAATTGAGATGGTTTGGTCATGAACATAGAAGGTTATTAAATGCACAAATTAGAAGTGATAAGATTATAGTTAATAGAGCAAAGACGACTAGAAGTAGACATAAAAGAGCTTGGTTAGAAGAAGTTAAGATGGGTATGATAATAGCTATCTTAACAAAGGAGATAACCCACAACAGAACTAAAAGGAAAACAAGATTTATGTAGCCGACCCCAAACCTGGAAGCAATTAAGAAGGATACAATAATAGTTAACGAAGGAGATGGCCACAATAGAACTGAATGGAAGAATAGGATTTACATAGCCGATCACAAACATTTGGGATATAGGTCTAAAAAGTCTTAAGCAGTGTTTGGCAAACCCACTAAACAAGGCCAAGTGGACATAATATTGGTCCAAAGTTTTAATCCTAGTTTGGCAAACTTCGGACCAAGAGTAGAACTAGCTTTGCTAGGCCAAATTTTGGTCTTAAACTAGTTCTTTTTTTATCCAGCCCCCACCCTAGCTTACTTTTGAGCTAGTTTAGAAAAGAACTAGTTTATCTTCCATTTGCCAAACTGAGCCTTAGTCTTACAGCTACAGGTAGGAATTAAGCATATTCATATAAAATGAAAATTACATAAGTCACAGAGATATCTGAACAATGTCTACTATATATAACTCTCACACACATTAAAGTAGCCTCTTCCTAAGAGCACCAAATGCTTTAAGATAAGGACTCTGCATCATCATGTCTTGCGCCTCATCTTCAAGACAATGACAGCATTATAATGAGTGTTTTAACTGGTCTCAAGAACCGAGGATAAAATGGTGGTGTGTGAATCAAACTCAAGCCTCACCACCCGAAAAGCTTGGCTATAAGATTGACAACAAATATAATCTTTACTGTATCATCAAGGACTAGCAAGGAGCATACTTCTTTATTTAATCGACACATTTGCTTCATTCCCAAATACTAAACTTGGTCACAAACCCCATACTACTCACCTCCTCCCTCAAAATTTGGGCAAAATCACATCCAAATTTTAACAGACATAACAATAAATTAGAGAATGCTGTGCCTCCTGAACCCCATAAATTTCCCTCCAACAATCAAAAAGAAATGGTTACACTTCCGCAACATTTAAAATCCGAGGTTTCTACCTAAAAATTTCAACTTTTCACTCGACCCAGATAAAATTCCATCATAAACAAACAAACCCACATCTCAAAACCCATCAAATTATTCAATATCAACAAAGCTATAAACAAAGCCAACAACAAGAACAACTAAAGAGGAAAAATATATATACCTGGAATACTATTGGAAACAAAGTTAACACCTTGAGACATCGTCTCAACGAAAAAGAAAGAAAGTTCTGAGCTTTTCTCAAGAGGGCTCGAGCATCTCTTTACAAAGCCTCTCCCTTCTCCCGTTCTCTCTCCTCAAGATTTCGTAAGAAATGAACCAGGCGATAAGGGTTTGGGTTTCTCTTTATTTATTTATTTATTTACTTTTTCTCTGTTCCGCAGCGATTTTGGGCCGTTCGATGAACGGAGATATGAGGTTGTCTGACAGGGTGCGAGTCCACGTCACAGCAATCATGTGCTTCAGAGTTCGTGGGATCAGACGGTTGATGTTTTTTCTCCATGTTTACCTTTTTTTTTAATTATCTCAATGCCACAAATGGACTGCAAATTTGGAAACATCCACAAGAAAAAAGAAAGAAAGAAAGTGAAAAAAAACATCTAAGTTTTACTAGGATACAATAGTTTTCGCTCTTTTCTAATATTAAGGGGCTGTTTGTTTGCTAAAAAAAAATGAGAAAAACCCCCCACGTCAGATTTCAAAAATCTTCCTGTCACATAGAATTTTGGTTTCAACCGATTTTCAAATCGCATGTTTGTTTCATTTTGTGATTTAAAAAAATAAGGATACCACGTAGGATGTCATGTTAAATTTTTAAGAAAAGTGTTTTTACACAAAAAAACCTCTAAAACACATGAAAATGTCACTTCAATGAATTTTTAATTACTGAAAGCATTGTTGAAACAGTGACCGTGAATAAGATTATTTAATTGCTGAAAATACTATTACTATTGCGGCTAATTCCTATTTCTTTTTTTTTTATGTTTAAACAAACATAAGAAATAAAAATCAAAACACGGTTACTATTACGGCGGGATTTGTTTCTTATGTGATGTGACGGTGACGTGACGGTGATTTCATTGCGAAACAAACAAAAAAAAAGAAATGTGGAAAATGTCTTGAAATCTCTTGAAATGAGGTGAAATGTGAGTTTTCCATTTTTAATTTTTTTCGGAAAACAACCAAACAGACCCTAAATGGAAAACTATCTTCTGATAGTACAATGCCTTAACTTCAAATGCATGATCTAGTAACAAATAAGCGTGCAAATTTTATAGATTCTTTTTTCCCTTGTTTAAGAAATTTTTTAATAGATTTTGTCATGTACAAATCATGAGGCACTTGTGAAAAATAATAATCGAATGTATCGTTTGACAAAGGGTTAAGTGAGGGGAGGGGTTAATAAGACTTAACCCCTTTTTAATCCGCCAAACACAAAAAATCTATACAAGGGTTAAAGTGAGTTAAACATTCATAATTTTCCAAACATAAAAAATATAAAAGGGTTAAGCTAACCCTTCTAGAGTATTTAAAATGAGTTAACCCCTCAAAATAAGGAGTTTATTAATACTCCTATTTAGAAGGATTAAGAGTTAACCCTTCTAATTATAAAGAAAATAGTCAAAATACTCCTATTTAGAAGGATTAAGAGTTAACCCTTCTAATTATAAAGAAAATAGTCAAAATCATTATTATTCCCAAACACTAGAAGGATTAAGAGTTAACCCTTCTAATTATAAAGAAAATAGTCAAAATCATTATTATTCCCAAACACTAAAGCTGATCACAATGGCTAAAATAAAACTTATTTAACGGATTAATAATTTAGTCCTTTATATTATCCAATGGGCTAAGTAAATTAATCTTTCTCTTTAACACCTCCTCCTTTTAACTCTTTTGCCAAACGAGGCCGAAAGGTAGTATAAAGTTATTCAAAGGGTTTGCAAATGCTAATGGTCAACAAGAATATCAGTCGGAGTATTCACTTCAAGCTACAAAAGAGCGGTAATCTTCTATAGCTTATGGAGCTGCAACCAATTTAACCGTAACATAAATCTTATACACATGGTTTTAGATCTTTGAAGCCAACCAACTACAACATACTGAATTTATAAGACCATGGCTAATTGCTGAAACCAACTACCATAATCTCTAAACCACACAATAGTCCCTGCAGCCTCAAATTTGTGGAGCCATCAAAGAAAAACTTGCATACGTACAAAGAGGGCGTTGCTAAAAGCAATGTTAAGTAAATTTCACAAACCACCCTACTAGAAGCCTGGCCCATTTTGAGGTAAACCCCAAAATTTTTTGAAATCATCCCTCAATTTCCAAAAGTTCTTCAGACAACCCCCAAATGGTTGGGGATTGTCTGACGGCAAATTCAGAAAAATGCAAAGGTTTTGAGGACTAAATAACATTTCTAGACTTTTTTCGGGTGGGCCAAACTTTTTCAGGGTTCAGTGAAATTTACTCATTAAAGTTTGTAGAGCATGAATCGTATCAAAACTAACCGCGTGTGAGCGGGTAGTTCTACACCATTCATGGGAGATCCCCCATATGAACGGTGTAGGACTACTCACTCACATGCGGGTAGCTCTGGTAAGATTCCTATACAATTTTGTACACTGAAGTGAATAGAAACGTGGAGATCCATCTGATCTGCAATTGTACAAAAGCACCATAAAAACAATTGACAGTTTATTTCCTACCCTGGTTGTAGAACAAAATCTGTTTGAGAAATAGAGAGAGCACACTAGTAACTAGATAGCTTGATTTTAAACGCAAAAGTGGGCAAAGGGACACGCCATTTAATTTATATCCCTGGATCACAGCTACAAACTGATCGAAGCAGTTCATGTTGATCCTCTTGCTCATGGATACGACAATGTGGTGATGAGAGGAAAGATCATTTTCACCCCCACTCTATTTCTTGGTGTTTTTTACCATCTCATCGACATTCAATTCTACTGCCAACACAGGTGAATCGTGGCTCAATGCTAGATGACTGTAACACAAAAAAAGAGTGGAGATAAATTTGGTGTAGACATTTATACATGGGGTTAAATTGCAGATTGAACTCCAAATTAACTGTTGCCCAAGATCCCCCGTAGTTCTATTGGCACAGATAGATCTCTGTACTATTTGCCCATGTGTGGATAGTCCCCTGAGTGGTTTTATTTTTTACTCTCAAAATAACTTAAAAAGTTCACTTAAGGGGTCTATCCCCACAAATAGAACTATAGGGGTCTATCCGCAATTAACCCTTATATATGTTCATACTTGAGTATGCATTATATAGTGCTTCAGTGTGTTTAGTTGAGTGATGGATGGCGTTTTCCCCAATCTAATTTCACTCCAAATAGTTGTAATGGCTAATTGGGT